CTCAAGATTTCACGTGTGACATTGCCCAGTCTCTTATATTTTCATATTCCTGTCTTGAAATCAGCAAGTTCAAAAAAACCCAATTTTGCAATATTTTGTAATTTTTAAAGTAAGCTTCTGGCCTTAGAACCTGCCTCTTTCATTTTTAAATAGAGTGGAGATTTGATTTTAATTATAATTGAGTACTCTAATGATAAGACACCCACTTTGGTTCCAGCTGCCAGCTGCACCAACTCCAGCATATTATATGCTCACAACTAACTCAGGATACAAATATCAAGAGATTGCTTTGAATATGTAGTGATAATTATTATTAAAGATTAAAGAACTAACATAAATAATGTGTTTTGTTAACAAATAGACATATAGTAAAGGGGGTTTTGAAGTTTAGAACTGAGCTGGGAGCTGGGTTATCAGTCTTGTAAACAACTGCAACAATCTCTAATTACCCAAGGAGAGATACAAAAAACACCCGCCCCTGTGAAGTTGCAACACAGTTTTCACTGTTCAAAGGGCATGTGGGTGCAGGTGAGCTGCTTCTGGCAAACCCACTCCATGTTACAGGCCACAGGAGAAAGGCTTATGCGTAATGGTAGTGGTACTTTAGCTCCATGCTTCCCTCAGGTGTTCCTATTCTGCAGTTTTACGAGCTTTTCACAGAATTATTAAGGTTGGAAAAGACCTCCAATATCACTGAATCCAACCTGTGACCCATCACCATCTTGTCAACTGGAGCATGGCCCTCAGTGCCACATCCAGTCATTTTTAAACACCTCTAGGGATGGTGACTCCACCACCATCCTAGGCAGAATAAGAACACAAGGATGCCAAACAGCAAGTATGCTGCTTGATTATTATCTCATCATGAGATTTTATTGTGTTTTAACTGGTTTATGGGCCCTATTTCCTATGAATTAAAATATTATCACTTTTACAAGGAAATCCTTTTGCTACATCTGGCCTAGAAATGAGGTAGAAACTCAACTCCTGGAAAAAAAAATCCCTTAATTTTCCATATATCATATACAGCTGCCTTTACCAATAAAGGTGGCAGCTGTATGTATACACATCCTCCACAGCCAGACCACACAACTGAGACATTTAAAACTATGACATGTACATATTGAGTATATCATGAATATACCATATATAACCTTTCACCCTTCACCAAGAAATTACTACTCACTGAGGATAAAGAACAAACCAAAACTCACTACAAGATGCAGCTTCATTCATCCTTTTTGACTCCCCAAACAAGAGAAATCCTGACATTTTGACCTTAAAACAGTCTTTGTGCTGTTTTTATTCTACTAACAAAAGCAGCTCATAATTAATCAGCAGAAAGTTTTTTGCCTCCTTCATCTAGTAAAGACTAATAAATAGAACAGCATCTCGTTTGGCAGTGCAAAGCAATCTTCTCTGTTAATTACAGACACATGAGGAAATTAATTTTAATCATGTTAGTAACCACAGCTAAAACTAGAATATTTGCTAAATGGCCTACAGGAACATAAAGATTGTGCTGAATTCCCAGCTCTTCAAGGACTCAAATACACCTTTTAAATATGTTTGTCTATGTTTGCCTCTCTCATATGTTACAGATTTTCCATAGAGACATGCATTCCTCTAAATTCTCACATTCCAATAGAACAATGTAGGGATCAGACAGCAAAAACATACAGCTCAAAACCACCTGATTTAGAAGAAGTAACAATACTGTGTTGAGGACTGGGACAATCCTAAAGATTATTAGCTAAGTAAGTTAAGGAAAACTGGCAACTGCTGTAGATCAGGTGTGGGAAGTTGCTGGTGCCTCTGCCACCAGTTCAGCAGCCAGCTCCCCATCTTGTGCAGCAACCCTTCAAAACAACAAATAATCCCAAGGCTATCGTCAGTCTGAGATTACCCAAGGAATTACTGAGATTAAAGAGTTACTACTGTGGGAAACCAAACAAATGCAGAACTAGCAGCACAGCACCAAAATCCTGACCAGCTTGGCTCTTTAATTGCTGACACCTACACAATAAAGCTGAAATATTCATAAATAAGAGAGTCTATGTTCATGGTTGATTTTGAGCACTTGGAAGCATTATTACTTTCTGTGGTTTGCTGTTCTGTGAGCTTTTAAAACATAGTTAAGGGAAAAAACCCTAGAATTATTAAAATTGTCAGAACAAGTTTATCAGTCAACAGGAAAACTTTCTTCTTTGGGCACTTAAGAACATCACCTAGACAGGGGGAAAAAAGTAAAGGAGCAGATAATAAAGTCCTAAAAAGAACTAAAATACTACCAGTTAGAGTAAGAATGATAATATTGGGAAGTGTGTAGAAAGTGATAGAAAAACAAAAAGCCCTGGATGAGCATCTCAAAACCTGGCAGATCATATCTGATAGTACATCTGTCAGATGCACATCTGTCAGACAGTACTTGAAGGAGATAACTTTTTATAATTTTTTGTTCTCCATCACATGCAGTCTTTAAATTATTTTTTTCTTTTTTTTCCCCTCTGCTATCCTTGCTCCCTTATTGGAGAATAGCATTGTTAAATGAAAAGAAGATGCAATTCCTTTAACAGAAAAGGAGGGGCCACTTTAAAATGGAAGTGGGGAAAGAAGGGCACAAAGAAACACTCAACCCAATGCACCGATGTTCTCCATTATTCCAAAACAACAGTGGCTGCTCCTGTATAGGTTTTTTAAAGGAAAATTCAGAGACCACATTCTTTCTAGTAAGAAAACTTAAACTGGGTTTCATTCCATTGTGAAACAGTTAAGTAAAGGGTTGGTCCCAGTACAGATATATACTTACAGCTTGCTCATTTCTCATTCCCACATATTTTATTCCAACTGCCTGGGCTGCAATTGCAATTTCAATGACTGGAATACCAACAATGCCAAACATGTATTCAATATTCTATAAAGAAAAAAGTTGAGAAAAGTCAGTCTGTTTTTCCCAAAAGACAGCTTTAATAAGCACATGCCAAACACTGACATGCTAGCTACACAGGAAATCTAAAACTAAAATGTAACATAGTCACAGAGAAGCTCTCAGGTCACTGTGGAAACATCAGCTGATGTTTGCAGCTCAGCCCTCGGTGGTTGTGAAAGTGCTGGATTTTGGGAGTCTACAAAGCCCAGCCTATTTTGGGAGTGGGGCAATGGTTCAGTGCCTCAGTCCAGGTGTGTTTAGTGCTTTCCACTGAGCATTTCTTACCTGGGACATCCCTGCTGTGTCACTTTTCTGATCGTCAGTATGTCAGCCTCCTCTACTCTGAAAATGCCTCATGGCACCTTGTGCTTTTACACTTTCACAGAAAATTAACGGCAAAAAGCCCCCAAGAAATGGCTGGGAAAGCACCGTGCCCACGGAAACACAGAGATGGAGAAGACTACGTTTATCTGGATTACAACTGAACTACTTTTCCATGTTTCACAGGCCAAACGCAAAGTCTTCTCCCAAGACCCGTGCCAGCATCTCGAGTTTAGAGGTCACACAGAGTTTTCGTCGCTGTAAGGAGGCGCAGGCGGCACATCCATCCAGCTGTCACGGGCAGAGCCGCAGAGGAGCCCCGGCATCGCTTGGCGGTAACGGGGGATGGCTGAGCTCGGGAATGGGGCAGACTCGGGAATGGGGCAAGCCCTCCAGAAGGGAGTCAGTGTGGGCCTGGGGAATGCCGCCCGGGGGCCGGGCCGCTGCCGGAGCTGGGCGGCGGAACCTCTGTACCTCCCTCTCCCTCCCTCAGAGCGGTGGGGGCGAGTCCTTTCCGTCGGCCCCCGGGAAAGTCCGGCCGCGCACATTCACTCGCTGCAGGCTGTCCCGGCCCGCAGGCTGCCGGTTCCCGCCCCGCGCTCTTACTTGCGTCTTGAGGGCCTGGGCGATGAGCTGCGCCCCGCTGACCGCCTCGCCCTCCATGTCGGCCCTGTTGTCCCGGCCCCGCCGCCCACCTGGAACGGGCCGGACCGGGCCGGGACCGGGGGCGAAGGGTGTGCGCAGTGACTGACAGGCGGCTCGGCCAATCAGATAGCGAAGGGGGCGGGCCCGAGGGACCCGCCCCTAACCCTGTTGGCGGGCGGCGCGGGGCGGAGACCGGGGTAGCTTCCTATTGGCCAGCGCGGGCAGCCAATCGGAGGCCGAGAGGCGCCGGCCCTGCAACGTGAGGGTCGCGGCGCGCGGGGGTGGGAGCGGGATCTGGCCTGGTGGTCCCGGGGCGGGCCAGGAGCGGAGTGGGCCGGGCCGGACCGGGGGGAGGGATTGATCTATGGCTGCAGGACCAGCAGCGGCCCCGGTGGCCTCCGGGGCGGCCGTCCCGGAGCGATCCGGCTGTGTGGGGCTGGTCAGAGGTGGCGAACGCGGAGCGGGGCAAAGTCCGGGGCTTGTGTGAGGCGCCGGTGCCCGGAGCTGGAGAGCAGCAGGGAAAGCGCCGGAGGAGTGCGAGGCACCCTCCCAAAATCCCGGCTGAGGGATGGCGCACGCCCCTCTGCCCGGCTCTGCCCATCGCAGGACGTGTCGCTGCAGTGACACAGGTGACAGCACGTCCTCGCCTCACGGTCCGGCTTGTCCGGGCCACCGCCCGGATTGTCCAGCCGAGCCACTGATGATAGCAGCGCTCCATTCGCCCTCACTCGCCAAACAACAAAAACGCACATAGCAAAACACCGATGGCATAGATAGCAAAAACCTTCACAAAACCTACATTATAAAATACTGTAATATAATGCAGCAAATAAAAGCAGTAGACACGAAATATCAGTGGAAAACACCTTGATTTTCACTATATTTTATGTATTTTTAAAATACGTTGTATAATATATAGCAGAATGGCAGCAACATCACAATCCATGGTTGTCATTCAACCTAAAAAACACTATTTTTTCATGGCCAATTGAATATTTACCTAGTGATCATTACTGTTTATGTTACTATTATTACTCTTTATGTTGCTATTTATGTTACTATATGTTGGGCATAGCTTAACATGCATTTGCTATTAATCACTCAGGAGGACCCAGGCTAGTGCTGTGCTACCTCTGTTATTTCAAGATTCTGAGTGGAGAAGTGTGAAGAAGAAGGGTATGTGTTCCTTTTCTCTGTGTATACATCCAGGTGTGGTGACAGGTGACAGGCTTCTAAGCTTCCAAAGTTGTTGAAAAGAGACTGACTGGATGCTTTACTGCACAACACACTGAGATCAGATGGTTCTGAAAAGGAAAACAGGCTGCAGTGTGACTGGGGAGGAAACTTGGCATCCAAACATGGACACCAGTCTTTTTACCCTTTGTGGAGAACTACATCTGGAATATTGTGACTGCATGACAGTAATACTGCTGTGAAATATTTATATTTGGGTGACATGATCCTGCTGAAGCTTGTCTGTCAGGCAAAAGACCACATAAATCACAGGAAAGGGACATAAAAAGAGATAGAATTGTAAAGTATTTCCGGTAATGAAAATTTAAACTCATGGCTCAGGTGAGGTGACAGCTCTGTAGATCCTAAGCAAATTAACTTCTCTTCAAGGAGAAGATTTATGAGATGGCATGACATCTTCCAATAGTAAAAACATCCAGAGTGTGGCAGAGACATATTTGGAATCTCAACAGCCCCAAGGGCTGAGTAAACCCTATTGGTATCCTTATTTTGGCTGGAAAGTTTAATACACCCAAGCCCAGCCCTGGGGCTTGTCATGGCTCTGTGTGTTAGAAGCAATCCATGAGAGAGCAGAGTCCTGTTTAAGCTGTCAGACAGGGGAAAGGCTTTAGGGAGCACTGACACAAGTGCTCAGCCATCATCTGTAGGACTGGCAGTAATCACAACCCAGAGGACTGGAGACTCAGGAATTATTTTAGTTATTTCAGTTGCCCCAGGTTCAGCCAGATGGGGTTGTGTAGTTGCTTCTTCAGTGCTAAACCTCTTGTGCATCTAAATGAGTTAAAGATTCAGATTAGTACTTCTGAGTGTTTCTGACCACCAGGAAATTAAATGTGGTAGAAAAATAAGACCTCTCCAAGCATGTTTTTAAAATACAACATTTTACAGAGGCTTGTTCCCTGTTGGGTTTTTTTTATTAGTATGTTTGGCTTTTTAAAAAGGCAGTTTTTCTAATGCATAGCAATTCCATCTCATGATCTGAAACTCTCCCAACTTTTTCCGTCACTAGTAATGATGAATTCTAATTACATCTTAGTTGGCAACTTTATTAAGGAGCAGCTGCTAGAACCCATTCCTGCCCTAAATAGGCATTTTGGCTTTGAAGGGGTGACAAGAAATAGAAAAGAGAGTTTTGTCAGTGAAGTGCAGCACAGCTTGTTTATTTTCAGTATGTTCCTTAGCTGCGAGAGGTTTCTCACCCCTGAACTCCCTCCTCCTGCAAAGCTGAGCTGCACCGGACAAGGAGGCCCCTCCATTCTTGGCATGCATTGCCAAATCACCCCCCAAAAGTACCAAATGTTTTCCTCAACATGCAGAGTAGCAATGATAGCTTGTCATACATCACTTTTCAAAACTGTTTACATAAATACAGTATCTTTAATCCATCTGATTACAGAGAGGCCAAGGTTTTATTCTGTTTTCATCACACTTTAAATACATTTACCCTTGAAGGCATGTATGTATGGACACATTGGCTTAATTAAAACTCAAGGAAATAGGAATATATAGTTGAGCTTAACAGCATTGAACAGCTAAGTTACTCCTTTACCCTTAGAAGTGTTACTATTACATGTTAAGTCCTTTTGGTTGAGCAAACAATTCTTCTGCCTACCATGGGCACCAAGGTTATAATTTTGCTGCCCTACATAATGCTTTTTCCATTTGCTCATTGTTAGGTACTAAACAGTTGGTGTTTAGGGAAAAAAAGCAGTATTGAGGATTGTTATTAGCTGCTTTTCATCCTGGAATTCAAGCAAAGAGATATTTTCAGTTAACTTGCCATGGACTTTCTTTTTTTAGGTACAAAACTACATTTAATAGAACATAAATAAGACTGAAAAAAATACGACTGTGATTAGTTTAGAATTGATCTTTTTTTCCTGCTGAGCTTTAGAGAAGTCTCTTCATGCATGTGTCTGTCAGTCTTTATTTGCTTTGGAAAAATTCAGGGATCAGTAGATCATAAAGACTGAAGGGCACTAAGAGTGTTTTGGAATTTTTTTTTTTTGGATACAAGTTCCCAGAGAGCAAATACAATTAAAAAGTCAGTAACTGAACTTAGAGCTATCAATATATAGCACCAGTAATCTCTCCTGCACCCTCTTTCAACTTCTCTGATATTAGAGATTTAAGTGCTTAATGATACTAGTGACACTGTGATGACAAATACAGAATTCTCATGTTGTGAGAATAATTCTGAATGAAAAGCCATTTCTGTAGTCTTTCTGGTGTTGCACAACCAGTGACTGTGTCTGTCCTTGTTCTAAGTCCTTTCCTAACTTGGGAAGTCAAAAGGTTACATGGGGAGCCCATATTCCAGAGTGCCCCAGTCTTCCAGACTCAACAATTCATTTTTTCAAAGAAAAACTAACTAATGCAAATTAGATAGATTTTTCTGATTTATTTTTGTTACTATGAAAGCATTTTTAAACTTACTTATCTGCATTGTGTGGGAGGAATGCAGATCTGAATTGCACTCAACATTTTTATAAGTGTTCAAAAAAGCTGCACTGTAGGAGAAATATTTGTCTATTTCATATGTGGAGTTAAAATACAGTGAATTCTGAATCCATTAGGAGAGGCATTTTCATGATAGATGCAGAAATATTGTCTGGTGTAATTCTCTTGGCAATTATCTGTTTCAGTGTTGATAAAATAATTCCTATTTCTGCTTGACTGCTAAATACAGTCTCCAAGTAACTTTAGGAAATGCTACTTTTAAATACATCTCCCATCACTGAATGGGGGAGGAACTGCAAATTTGTGAGCTGCTTTAAACTTTTCTCAAAGATGTTTTGATACACGGTGAAATAATCTATAAATGTATGTTAATTATAAAGGGAAACCAAGCAAGGAGATCACTGGAACTACATATGAAGCTTAAATGCTTTTGAACAGGACACAGTTGTTCAAAGCAACAGTGTAGATGGATTTAAGGTTTAGAAACAACATGCACATGGTCATCATGCTGAGAGCCTCAGCAGTGTAAAAACCTAACAGTAAATTTAAGTTGCTGGCATGATATTTTTCTCAAGCTCCCCCACCCCACCTATCTGGGGTTTTTTCCCTCTAGATTTATGGCATTCACCATGGTGGCTCTGTGCTGGAGGCTGCCCATCTGCTTTCTCTTGTACCAAGCGGTCTCCGGACGAGTGCGGAGGGAGGGGCACTACGTGGCGGCCGTGTACGAGCACGAGTCCATCCTGAGCCCGGCCCCGGCGGTGCCGGTGGAGCGCCGCGCTGCGCTGGAGCTCATGGGCAGGAACCTCGACATCTATGAGCAGCAAGTGCTGGCTGCTGCCAGGCAGGTATGCCCAGCTCCAGGCAGCACTTGTGTGTGCCCTGGCTGTATGCTATTTGAAGATAATCTTTCACATCTGTGTTCCCAGGCAACTGAAGCCGTATTTATATCCACAGCTATGGTCTGGGTTCTCAGACGATCTGACCTGCCAGCAGCTCTGAAAAAGAAGCAGGCCAATTAGCATCCCGCCTGACTCAGGCTATTCCAGGCTTGGAAAAACACGCCCATTGTCATTTAGTATAGGGAAATTAATTTTCTATTTTGGTCTGAATACCTAGCTCCTTTCTGTTTTCTTAAATGGAAGGGTTTCCTTGAAAGTTTGTCTTGCTGGCAGCTGTCTTAGGTTTGGTTTTATTCCAGTGCTCTCAATGGAAATTCCTGAATGTTTCTAAAAACTAAAGAAGTCAAATGATTTGGAAATGAATGTTCTGCTTTTAACAGCTTTGTGGAACTAAAATTTTCCATTCCTTTCTCCTACCCACCATGGAACAGTTCTCAGTCTAAATATATTTAGAGGAGAGAGACTAGTATCGCCAGCTGTTCTTAGGCGCAGCCCTCTTTCCTCCCCTCCCAAGAAAACCCAGGCTAGTTCTAGTGATAGGAAGCAAGTGTTACTGGCCCTACACAGGGAAGAACTGACTTGCAATTTTCAGAGATCTGTTGTTCTGGGAGAGAATAATTACTATTTTTATATAATTTGAAAACATGATATTATTTTTTTTTGAGAAGTTCAGATGATTGGGCAGAAGCATAATACAATTTTTATGCAGCCCTGCACCCAAGACACAAAATTATCCCAGAGCTATCACATAGGTAACACGTTTGAGTTGACTTTTGAAAATAGGAAGTTGAGTGACTGGTGCTGTATCTGATTTAAGAAGAATCCACCTCATTTTTAGGAACAATTCAGATCTCCCTGAATTTCAGGCAGAGCCTCTGGCATGGCTACATTTCTACCAGGCTGTGCGCTGCTCCCACAGTGAAGCTGTTTCTGAAATCAACACTCCCTGTCCAACTCTATATTATAATGGGATTTAGAGATGTCTCTTCATGCATGTATCTGTCAGTCTGTATTTGCTTTGGAAAAATTCAGGGAGGTGTAGATCACCCAATACCTAATTAATTAAGTGATGCTGTACACTTTGACAAAGTGTATCTGCAAATAGCATAATTCTGATAAAAAAATTAAGACAAGTTTTAACATCTGAAGTCTTTAACCTGAATGATGACATTCTCATAACTTGTGTGAAGGGAGGATACTTTTGGTAAGAAATTGGATGCAGTATGCTTTTATTTGCATGCCCTTAAAATTATGTCAAATATTTTTCAAGATAAAGGTATGCATCAGGTTAAACAAGTTTTTTTTATACATATAGTTACACACCTATTACATAGTTACACCTACTATGAAGCTGAAGAAAAGACATCTTCAAGCTACATTATTGGCAAAACATAATTGGGTTATCCTTAACTTTCTTTAGCTCTTTTTACCCATGAGATCCCCCCTTTTCCTTTGCTTTGCCTACAAAACATGTCTTTGTTTTACATCCAGGGGGCAGATATCATTGTTTTTCCTGAAGATGGAATCCATGGCTTCAACTTCACCAGAAGCTCCATTTACCCTTACCTGGATTTCATTCCGCATTCACACTCTGGGAAGTGGAATCCCTGCAGAGAGCCCTATTTGTACAATGACACAGAGGTAAATGTAGGGGTGATGCATGCAGGGGTGGGATAACTGAATGCTCCAATTGGGAAATAGTTCAAAGGGAAGTAAGCAAGAAGTTTAACAATTCCTAGTACCAGATTCTGTTTTCATGGATGCTCAAGCTCTGCTGGTTTCATTCTTAGCAGTGGAGGGTTTAGATCCATACATGCAAGGAGATCAGTTGTATATGAACCATCTGGATTTGTCATCTCCTCCTCCCCAACCTCTGAAATAGTAACTACTCTCTTGTAAGATCTGTTCTGTGTGGTTTATAGTTTGAACAACATTGTTTTATATAAAACAAGAGAGTAGTATCTTCCCTTTTGGTGCATTCTCATTATTTGGCTTTAATGACTTAATGACATCCCAGCATTCTGACTCAACAATCATTGTCAAATGATTAGCACAAGTAACAGGACTTACCTGCTAGAACGTAACAGAAGTCACAGCTTGGCACAGACCAAGCATGATTACATAAGATATGACCTGGATGTTACAAAAATAGTATTGTCACTGACTGTTCTGGACCTGAACTGAAAATAACCATGCTCAGTAAATACAGACTGCTGATTCTTCCAGTAATCAATATAATGAAAGAAATCATGCCTGTACCTAGTGAGCAGGATTTGTGTGGGAGCATGAATCGCAGTTGTAAACAATGATCTGTGTGAATCTTTGTTACCAATGGTCATGGCCAAGCAAGCCAGAACTTAGTCTGCCATTCAGATGCTGTTTGGAGATTGCAGTAATGTCAGTCTTTGGTACAACACTCTGTGTTATGGAAGAAATATTCCATTAATACTATGGTCTGCAGTGTTTTCTATTTCTTTGCTGTAATATGTAGGGTTTATCCCTTTCCATCTCTGCTTCTCTAAGTCGTAGGTAGTAATTGCTTTTTAAAAACTTATAGTAGAAACATCCGGGTGCAGATGATCATTATTAGACATTTGCTGTTCTAAAGGCACACACAGATCAGTTGTGCTGCCTTGGCAAAGTTTTCAGTTGACATACAGTGTTTTAAAGCCATTGGTGCTCCTAAAAGTCACAAGTTTCTAAAAATTAACACCCTTGGAATAGATTTATTTACTTACTTACTTCTGAGGAAATACAACTTAGCCAATTTTTTTCAGAGATGTTTTAAAATAAACATCTGAAATTTTGCCTACAAAGCTACTGGCTCCAGTAGCTTTTGTCACAAAGTCATCAGTGCTTTTAAACTTTATGGATATAGTTAAACATGTTCAATTTTGAATTTCCAAAATAATATTAAATAAGTGATAGAAAAACTTACTCCACGACATTGTCGCGCGCTCCCATTTCTCCATGCTGTGCTGCAGGTCGTTCAGCGCCTGAGCTGCATGGCCCTGCAGAACAAGATATTCCTCGTGGCCAACCTGGGCACCAAGCAGCCGTGCGAGCGCTGGGAGCCGCGGTGCCCGCCGGACGGGCGCTTCCAGTTCAACACCAACGTGGCGCTGGGCGCGGACGGCGCGCTGCTGGCCACCTACCGCAAACACAACCTGTACTTCGAGAGCGCCTTCGACACCCCTGCACAGCCAGACCATGCGCTCTTTGACACCCCTTTTGCTGGCAGGTTTGGCATGTTCACTTGCTTCGATATACTCTTTTATGAACCTGCAGTGAGCCTCATCACACAGTACAATTTGAAGCAAATTGTTTATCCAACTGCCTGGATGAACCAGCTCCCGCTTTTGTCTGCTGTAGAGTTCCAACAAGCTTTTTCAACAGCTTTCAATGTCAATATTTTAGCGGCCAACATCCACCACCCTACCTTGGGCATGACAGGGAGTGGCATATACACTCCAGTCAAATCATTCATCTACCACAACATGGAAAGTTACGGTGGCAAGCTCATAGTAGCAGAAATTCCTGTGATTACTGCAGATTATAAAACTAATTTAGAGAGTAATGAAAGATTTAGAGAGAACTTACATGACTCATGCAGGACTTCTACGAGCACCTCACTGGATGATGAAGTTTGCTTTAAGGAGCAAGAAGAGACTCCTGGCAGAGTATCTGAAAAAGGAGAAGGAAAGGAACAGTCACCTCCTTCCTTTTATGCAGAAATGATGTATGACAACTTCACTTTTGTTCCGTTATGGGGGGAAAAGGGAGAGCTCCAGGTTTGTGCCAATAGCCTTTGTTGTTATTTAAACTATCAGAAAGCTGTTCTAACTGATGAGTTATACGCTTTGGGAGTCTTTGATGGGCTCCACACAGTGCATGGCACATACTATGTCCAGGCCTGTGCCTTGGTGAAGTGTGGTGGTCTCAGCTTTAGCACTTGTGGACAGGAGGTCACAGATGCCACTGCTGTGATAGATTTCCAGCTATGGGGAAATATGAGCACCCCTTACATCTTTCCTTTGCTGCTGACATCTGGTATTACCTTGGACTTTGCTGATCACATGGGCTGGAAAAACAACCACTATTTCCTCAGCAAAAATAGAACATCTGCTGGCCTCCTGACAGCTGCTCTCTATGGACGATGGTATGAAAAGGACTAGCACAGATACTTGACTGAGTCAGAAAACAACTGCCCATATGTTCAGAGTCTGTAGCTTAACAGAAATGGTTAAATGTCCATATTTGCTAGAGGTTCAGGTGTGTTTGTCCCATCACTGCCTGATTAGGTCCCACATTTGGAATAATGGCTGTAAGTCTGTACCCTGGTAGCTTATGTCCTACCAGGAGTGAAAAAACTGCCTTGCAAAGATAAAGGCTTGCTGTGATCTGGTGAGATGATTGGTACCAGAAAATAACACTTCTCATTTCAACTGAATCTGTTCCTTTTAATTTAATCCTTTGATTTTTGGGGTTCCTGGCTGGGAGTATGGAAATTATTAGAATGGAAAACTACTGCAATAAAAAAAACAAACAAAAGAAAGGGAAGGAAAACACAAATATTGTGCTTAACATGGACAGGATCATGTAAGTAGAGATACATGTAGCTTTTATGTGCTGAGGTTCTGATCTCTGGTTAGGATGCCATGATTGGTTTTTTTCTTAAGAGTCAAAAACTTCCAGCTGCAATCATTACCATGGACTGGCCACTCTGGTATCTGTAATCCTGTTACACATTTAACTGAATGTTACAGCTGTAAACATCTACAGAATAGCTAATCTGGGGAACAGGATATCAGTGACTGTGAAAACCTAGAGTGCAGCAAGACACAATTCACAAGAAATTATGTTCAAAGAAAACATCAGCATTAAATGCCAGTGGCCATGTTATGTACTGTTTGAGTCCTTTAACTTCCCTGTTTGAAAGAGCAATCATTTTAAGACTGTTTTGACTTTAAGACATCTTACATGCTGTTCATGAATTTATTCAAGATGACTTATGAAAAGCACATAATAAGCTGTGGGACAGCAAGGATTTTGCATCAATGCTTCATGTGCCAGATGGCAGGTTTGTGCTGCTGAGTAAAACACACCATTTTTTTCCAGAGCAATAACTAGATTAAGTGCTATAGATGTTCTACTGTAATGAAGAAGCTGGGAAGAGAATATTCAAAGGTTATTAATTTGGGGTTACATTCAGACAAGTTAATGTATTCTCAAGCATTACAATTTTATGGGGTCTTATTGGCTATTATGACTTCATCTGGGTAATGGCTGTGAGTAATGGAATAAACACAACTGTTCTTTTGGTGAGTCCTTGTGTTCCAGCTGCTCTGTTACTGGGCTGAGGAGCAGAGCACAGGAGACAGAGAGCTCAGAGTCTCTCTTTGTTCTGGTGATCTGAGTTGGTTCAAACTGAAACCACCACAGCTACAAGGATGAGTCCTGAGACGTGCTCAATCAGCTCCTGCTTCAAAGGAGCTCACTTTCTGGTTTCAGAAAGCAAAACAACCAAAAAACTGCTCAATTTCTACCTCAGGGTTTCTTAGATATTTGCACAAGATTAGTGTATAATTGTGGAAGATCTTGGGCTCTTTCAAACCTTCCTTCTCCAGTCTGTATCCCTGTGAGTCAGGCCCTTGTTGAACACCAGTCTGACACAGCAGCACACCAGGTTTGTTTATCCTGCAGCATGTACTGGACAGAAATATGGAGAGGGGAATGTCTGTATCTCATTAGGCATAAACTAGCTGCTATAAAGTAGGCCATTCCACCACAGGGTTATTAAAGATCATTAATTCTTTGGCACCCATACCATGTTCTTGCTGAATGCTGCACGGTTCCAGGACATACAGGGTAGAACAGAAAAGCATTTGCAGTGCTTGGTGGTGCTGCTGCTTCTAGTACCACATGACCAAGTCTGAAAGAATGGAACAATGAACAACTGGAGATTTCAGCCCTCAGGACCCTCCACTTTGGAGGCTGAAAAACATGCAGCTTCATGCACTAAAATACTCCTTGGGATTTAGTTCCAGAGCAGACAGTAAGTCAGGCTAAACAAATAAATAGCATTACACATATTTGCTATGCTTAAGGAAAGAAGAAGTATTTATCTGTGAAATACTTGCAAAGTGTGTCCCAAAGAGCTATTCTAACTCTGGGTATGGTAAAACTGTTAGAAGACCTTCTAGCCCTACTGGAGTTTGCATGAGGCATGTTCCTGTCTCTTCCCTGAGAAGAGCAGGCAGTATCAGAGGGTGTTCTCATACCTTCCTCCCTTCACCCAAAACAGCTGCCTCCAGCAGAGTCACTGGAAAGGTTGAACAGGTAATACTAGACACAATGGATTACCAGAACTATCAACTCCTACCTCCCACCCTGATCCTTGAGTAACAGCAGATGTGTCTGTCTGACCTGGGGTGGCCAGCAGTAACCTGCAACACCCCCACACATTGGTGCCTTCCAGAAGTGTGTGCTGGAGCAGCAATCCCAGCACTGCTCTGTTCCCAAACAAGCCTGCAGTCCTGTGAGTGAAGCTACTTACCACGTGCCAAGGAGGTGTGAGAAGCCTTCAGCAAGGCTGATGTTCACTACTTACACACTGCAATGCATCCCATCATCTAATGGATATGAACAGTTTTATTAAAGCTTCCTAGCATTCCTGTCTGAGAGTGGAACAAAACAAAACCAGGACACAAGGATTTTTGACATAGAGGAAGCAGAGCTAAAATCAAGAGCAGCTTTAAAGCACTCAGTCTGTGGACCAAAGTGAAACCAGGATTTGGGAATTTGTACTGACACTAAAGAAACTTCCTCTCTGAGACAGCAGGGGATGGTGTCTTTAGAGGACACTGCTCCTGGGCAGGATAACAACCAGAGAAACTCTTTGTCCAGGTAGGAGTAATAGCACATGAGTCTGAAGGGTTGGAAGGTTCCTCATAAGGGATCTGCTACTTCAGGATTCACAGTGATTTTTCCAGGTGGATGTCAGGATACTCTCCTTACTGTAAGAGAAACACCAGAAAGCAGATCAAAGGAACAGCTGGAAAACAACCTTGGGAGTTGAGCTATCAAGAAGCATGGGAAGAGGCTGTGGTGACACAGCTGGAAAACAAAACCTTGGAGTTGAGCGATCAAGAGGCATGGGAAGAGGCTGAGGTGACACAATCTGCTCAGATCAGAGACCTTCACAAGGCCCAACTGGGCATAAGCTCCTTGAGGCAGATCTCAGCCAGTGAACTGAAAACCCCAAATATTCACAGGCTGAACTGAACTATCACTCCATCAAGGTTTTGAAAGTCAACAACAATGAAAATACTTAGGAGAGTCACTGTGCTCTCCTTTTCCCTGCCCTGGGAGAGCAGGTGTGGGCAACACAGGTCAGGAATCAGAGATAATAGTGGGAGCCACAACAAATGAAACAAACTCTTGATAGAAGAGTTAGAAAGGTTGAATTCATTAAGACTTTAATAGATTAGGAAGATTTTTTAAATGTTTAGAAAATTATCCAGCTAGTTTGAGTAACAAAGTTTGGCAAAGGATAGAAAATACGTGACAGGATACATGAATCACTAGATTTTGCTTTAAAACTATTTAAGCTATCTAATCTATTCTTCTAACATAGAACACCTGTGATGTCAGACATGATAGATCCCAGGTACAGAGAAAACCTGCAAGTCTGTCCTTTGACAAGACTTCAAAGCAGGTTTTATTCTGTTCTGCTGTAAACCTGAATAGCAAGAGTTCTGGCTGCATCTATTGCATTTTTAATTAAAAAAAGGAAGATTGTAAGGTGTTTTTTTCCTCTTTAAATATTTAGTGACACCATCAACATGAAGACAACCTTGAAAGGCTCTTTAGGTTCTCTATTATTCAACTATGTTTACAGTTACATGGGGGAACACTGCAAGATCTCTTTCCCAACCTCAGCTTGAAAATTGCCAAAACATAGCGTGGAATGGAGAGAGCTAAATTTATCCTAATGTAAAATAACACACAGCACACCAGGGAAGCACAGATAATTTAAATACTGCTTTACTTGAAGACAAATAGTGTGCTAAAGAGACTGGGATACCAGGTTGGAAAGAGCTGCAAGAAATCTCCAAGTCCTGTAAGCAGGGACAGTCATCTTTCCCTATCAGGAAAGTTCAGTTGTGAGATGAGCTGTAGAATTTGAAAATTTTAGTCCCATTTATAACTAATCTTCCCCTGGGAAAGGAAACCAAAACAGTCTTGTTATCTTGCTGGGCTCTAGATGCCTGAACAACTGAAAAAAATGCTCTTTCCAAGGCTGCCATTTCAGACCATTTTGCTCTCAGTAGGTCTGAGTGGGAACAGAGATCAGGCTGGGAGCCTGGGTGACATTCACCATGTCTAGCCAGGCATTTCCTTCTCCTGTTAAGCAGTAAAATAAAGGGATTTTGTGATAAGGCTCTCATAAATCCAAGAACAGGATAGTTTCTTAATAATAGCCAGTTGTTTCTTCATTAAAATTAATGCACAGTGATACTTTTGCACTTAACATTAGAAAACATATGGATATTAAAGTGAGAGAAGGACACCAGAAAAAGCAAAAAGCCAATGCTATCAATTAACAGAGGCCTGTGCTGTATCTCTTCTCATTTCATAGTCTATGACTGGAAAGAATCCACTAAGATCATGGGAGCCCAACTCCAGGCCCTGCATATGATCACACCACATTCCCACGAGCATATACCACCTCTGGTTTCAGTATGTAAAGTTTGGAATCCCATGTTTTATAAACTTTTATCTTGTCCGATTCAGAATCACAGTTACACATTTATATACAAAAAATGTTTTCCATCCCAATCAGAATTCTACTCCAACTGTCTTGCCAGCTTCTGCAGCATATTAAAGAGGATTATAAGGAAATCATCACAAATCACTGAGATTACTGCAAGAGGCAATAACTATCAATCTTGGATTTAAGGATTTGTATGAATTGGCTTGACCAGCTTTAAGAATTTAAATACTTTTTCGTGATATTAATATCAATTTTACAAAGTTTGAATTCAGACCTATGGAAGTTGTGTTAGAAGTTTAAACTACTTATGAAGAGATTAAAAGAGACCCTTCTCTCCAAAGTCTAGTTAGTCTGGTTCCATCAGGACTGGATTATCAGAAATTACTGTCAGGGGGAATCAATGCTTTTTAACCAAAAGTGTGATGGCATTTCTTGTGGATACATACCATCAGCAGAGGCCCAGTGCAAAGCTGTGAGAGATGAGGAGGATCCTGCTGCTGCTGCTGCTGTAGCCAGGGAAGCCCATGGAGCTCCCTCACCCACCCTGTGGTGCATGGAGCCAGAGCACAACCTCCAGTTCTGCAGAACTGCTGTTTCCATAAACATTTACCCTTTTCATTTTGGTTTCAGTTTTTCAAGATGTGAACTTCACTGATCCAAACACGGAATTGAGT